CCAGTAGTGGGTGTGCTTACAAAATGGGACGATTCGCTCCCCACTTACTGGACACACGGGTGGGATGGGTGATGAAAACAATCGCCCAGACCGCATTACGGTTATGGATTGAACTACGAGAAACAAACACCAGAACCCACTAATCTCCAAATGAAACGGATGCATGGCGGATGCAATTGAGCGTGGGCTTTTACCATCTGCGAGCATGTGTGCACTGCATGGCGGATGCAGGCCGTGAAACCACGCGTTGCAAGTTTGTTTTCTTTTGCATATCCGTGTTTGCGCGTGTGTGTGTGTGTGTGTGTGTGTGCTCGTGCGTGTGGGTGCGTGTGTGCGAGTTCCCGCAGGCTCAGCGCCGTGCGGTGACAGGGGGGCCTCTGCTTGAGACTACAGTGCGGCAGAGGTAAGCACTTGTACACCAAAATGTCATGTCTGCTTCTGCGGACACCGTAAGCCCACCCGGCTTCGCACATGCAAATCAGCAGGTCGCTGGTCTTCGCTCCTGTTTTATTTCTTTGTTTTGGGTGCTTTGCTGTACGTAGTTTCTCCATGTTGGACTTGGTGGCAAGGCGCCACGCTTCGCGGCCAGCACTGGAATTCAGTAGCTTCTTGCCAACTATGTTCAGTGCACAAGCTTGCATGTACATACATACACATATATATATATATATATGTGTGTGGGGACAAAAACAAACGTAAATGTGCGGGGCATACAACCCAGCGGCAGGACACGCGGAGGCACATATATATATATAGAGATATGCCAAAGGCTCCCAAGTGTGTGTTCGGGCCCTCGTGTCATCATCAAGCATGTTTGACTAAAAGCTTGCGCGAGAAGCAATTATTCTCCCCAGTGGATTTCGATCAACTAAATGACAAAACAACATCACGCAAAACGCAAAAACTATTGAAACTCTTGACCGCCACGACTTTCTGAGTCTCAGGGGTTTCCGCGTCGGTCCTCGTCCGAATGGCCTCCCCCCTAGCCGGGCCCGAAAATTGTTCAAAGCAGCAACTTACTAGTACGGAAATGAAACCGCAGAAATCAAACATCATATTTACATAAAATAATTGCCAATACAAATATATATGCACAGTTAATTTTATTTGTTGTTTCATTTAAATTTACATTAATATGTGCGCATTTAAATTTATAGTATCTATATATGAATATTTATATATATATATATATTTATGTACTGATTGTTTATATGTGAACTCATATTTGCATTTATATTTATGGGCTGAAAATTATGTCAATATCTATTTTAAATTTACGTGTATATCATTGGTCTAATATTTGTACTTCTCTGTTGCATTTTGATCTGCATTTGGATTTAACGAACTAAATCTATGCTGATATTCTTTTCTATCTGAACCTCTTCCCCCATTATGTCTATATTTCTTTATCCGCCGACTACAAGACGGCGTGTTGGACACTCTACGACACATTCCCCTTCCCCTTCCTAGGGGGGTCCGTTTGTGACTTTCCTGGGGGTACCGGTCGGTGGTTTTGCGACGGTTTCCAGTTGCAATGGTTCCGAAGACCGAGGGGGGTTCGACTGCCCCCTGCCCCACCCAGGGCTGGCAAAGGCCTTCCCAGCACGCACGCACGCACACACGCACGCACGTGCGCAGTCAGGCACGCACACACGCTCACACGCTTACACGCTCACACAGCACTCGCGACCACCTATTTACACCTCAGGCGCTAGCTGAGTGCGCCAATCTTGGGCCGAGCAGTAAGGTAGCGGTCACAGGCTCCATCTGCGCCATCAAGACATACCTAGGCTGTCCCTTGAGCTAAGACTACAAAAACATCACCCGTAGCTGACTGGCTATTGTTTTTTGCCGCACTCATGCACCCTGACTACAAAGTGGTCCGCAAGGTCATCCATCGCATTTGACACCAAGGTGGCTTGAGTTGGTGAAGAAAGTACAGCTCGCATCTATCTACCGCCCATCTATCGCAGCGCCTCCTGGCGTAGCCTCTGTTGCCGGCTTCTCTCCCTTTTCTCTGGCGAATTTGCCTGCCTGCCTGGCTCGCACGCATGCTTTTGGCCTGCGTCTTATACGATGCCATATCCGCTCAATTGTCCGGCTCTGGGTTGCGAAACGCGCGCCTACTGCCTCAAGCATCCCTCAGAAGTACTCGAAAACCAGGAGGGGTCGCAGCTTCAGCGCGCCACTGCGCCCTCAGTGGATGGGCCCGGCCTTGCGAGCAAGCCTTCGAGGGAAATCAGAAGGTCTTCCGCCGTTGTGCGGAAAAGGCGGAAGAGTCTTTGCGCAGCATGCGTGGCTTCGAAAATCATCGGGTTTGCCTGCACCTGCTCCACAGCAACGGCGAGCTTTGCGCGCCAGTGCTCAGCTTGACTGCGCCAATGCGTGCCCCAGCGAGCCACAACCTGATCTGCAAAGCTCTGTGGCCGGTCTGCCAACCGCACATGTACAAGATTTGGGCGAGCAGCCACCACCACCCGGCGCTCAAACACAGAACACGACGCCAGCGCCGCAGCGACCATTGTGAGCGTGTGCAGGTCATCCTGGCTTCGGTCTGCTCCCAGGAAAGCACGTAGCGCGAAGAACTCTGCCGTGACCTCGCGCAAGTTGCATAGCGCGGTCTCTTTCCAGCGCTGTCGGTCCTCTGGCTGCGCAACCGTTGTCTCCAAACCCATGAGCAGAGAAGAAGCCATCCCAGCAGCAAAGCAGTCATCTATCTCTAGCGACATGGCGGACAGCTACCACGCAGCGGCAGCTTGGCAGCTGCTCGCAGCCCAGAGCTCAAAACAAGTCATCCGCAGCCGAACCGCATTCAAACCCACAGCGCGGGCCCTGAAGCCGACCCCATTGTTTTGGCTCCCCGGTCTCATCTTAAGACTCTTCTTTCGCAAGCAGCCGAACCTGCCCTCAACAGAAAAAGGGACAGGAGACGGAGATCCTGCACAGCAGCCGCCTGAGGACTTTTCGCAACAGCGGCGGCCACCGTGCCCCCGCACTCACACGCTAGGCTCCTTGTCGGATCTGTCGGCAAGTGTCCACGCTTCCACACGGCGGCGGGCCGCTGCCCAGGCCCTGGCATGCTCAACGTGGAAAGTCTTAAAACAGCACTTGTTGCGTCATCAGGCACGCCATAGCACGGCCAAAGCGCAAGGCAGCTCTGGCGCGTCTGTAGTGGGCCACAAACGCGCGAGTCAACCTAGCACCCTGGTTTGCTGCTTGATTGGGAAAAGAACGCTAGTCCCTCTGTCTGCCTGTCTGTCTGTCTGTCTGCCTGCCTGTCTGTCTGTTTTCTGTCTCGCGTGAAGCGCCGCCTTGCTTTTGACCTCTTATACACACTGCCGCGTCCTTCGAGGCCGATCGGCCATACCCTTCCGGCCCGGAAGCGTGCGCCTGCTTCAAGCATCCCTCAGAAGTACTTGATGGGAACCAGGAGCCGCGTGCGGGCTGCTTCTGCATCTGCATTGCCTCCAATCTCCCGAGCAGACTTCTTAATGTACACCACCGGCTTGATGCCTTTCTTAGTTTTGCGCTTTGCCTCCGCAACATTGGCAAGTGGAGACTGTGTGTCCGCCTCAGGGGAGCTGTCAGAATCCATCAAGCCAGCTTTGTGCAAATCTGCCAGGGCAGTTTTGATCTGGTCGGCTGTGACGCGCTGCTTCTTGAACCAGATTTGGTTGCGGAGCCACAGCCTGACTTGGTCACTGGCAATCTTTGCACCAACCGCGGCCTTTTCGTGCACCAAAATCTCGTGCCTCAGGCGATCTTCGGCCGACAAGTTAGCCTTGAGTCGGCTGCGCTCTTCACCGTCGTCAGCTCTTTCCATGGCAGCAGTGAGATCCTTAGTAGAGCCGCCCGGCCTCTGATCTGACATGTGCCGGAACCACTTGTAGAAGCTGAAGTGCACATGCAGCTGCCGGAGCCACATGTTCACCGCCAAAATGAACTCATAGACGTTTGGCTGGGTTCTGGCTGCCTCTGTTCGAGCCACGTCTTTGCCCCCGTACTCTACCACTGAGAACTGACAAATCCGCATGTTTGCATGGGCAAGGCGTAGCACGTCGGTGGACCAGAACCGGACTTTGCGACACGCATCCTTGGTAAGCTGGCTGCCTCTCTCTTCCATAAAGTCTTCCACTGCCTGCTTGACACTCTGGTAGCAGGTCAACGCGTAGCCGTCCAAGTAGTGGTTGCCTTCCGTGCCCCAAGCATTCTTGTACAGCCAAGTGTGTAGCTGTGTGAAGAAGGCCTTCGCGCTAGCAGTGTGGACTTCAGCCGACTCCGGGGACCTTTCTGGCGCAAAGACAAGGTTGAAGCGCTTGTTGAAGCCGTGCGCAACAGGCTGCGCAATGAACTCGATGATCTCGGTTTGGCCTGCCACCTTGTGAAGAAAGAGATATGGGTGATGTGTGGACCCCAAATGCACTTGCCCTCGCCCTGTGGCTTGGTCATCGGCTTCACTGAGAACATAGGTGTTCATTTTCGCCTTGCTCAAATAATGGATTCCCCCAGACCCCTTCTCTGACCAAGGAGTTTCGTAGACGTTGGAAGCCTCATCTGCGACAACCGCAGCTCTGTTGTAATTTGCTTTCTTTTCACTGTGCCAAGACGCCTGCGCGTAAGTCGGAGGCTCATGTACAAAAGCAAAATCGTGTGAAAACTCAAGTGATGTTCATCCTAAGTACCACACGTACACAAGTATGCAAGGGAGCTAAATGATTAGCACCCCGCCTCAAATATGCCGTTCATTTCATGAAAGGCATTGTTTGAAATCCTTTAGCTCAGCATCAATGCTCTGGCTGGCACTGACTGCTATGCTTATTGTGCAGCCTTTACGGCTTGACAAAATCTGAATTCCACCAATCTCAACTGATATTTACACATCGCCCGGAAAGCCTGGGCTCCATCTCGTTCACTTTTCGCATGCTCCTGCGGTGCGTACATTTTGCAACCACGTAAAGAGAGCAAATTGAGGAAGTGTAAATCTGCATCAGTGATTCTGCTTAATCCACCTTGCTAGGCAAATTGCCTTGCACACCAAGTTCATTCACTCGGCTTTCATGCAAACACGTCCTGCACTGCTTGTAACCCTTCTGCAACGCAACTTTCTCAAGCATCTGCTCGAATCCACTTGACTGCTTCAACCATTTGCAATGCTTCTTGTGGTAGTACCGCCCATAAGCGGTTATACACACCATTGGCTGTGGATGTAACCATGATCCTGAGGATGCTGCAGCTGACGGTGCAGCCAGTGTGCTGCTGCTTGCGGCGTTGTCAACCCTGTCGGCAACCCGTCTTTGCACAATGCGTTCAACCTGCGTGGCCACCGGTGTGGCCTCACTCCGCACACTCTGCGGATATGCACTCACCTGAATGCAAGCATCAACCAAATGGCTTCTGCTTCTCATCCCACAGCTCACTTCTGGTTGCATCCTGTGATTGCACAACCATTTCACAAACCAAATAACAAGCCTGCAGAAAGTGTATACAATCCATGCTGCTCCAACCAACGCACAGAAATCGTAAACGTCTCCGAAATCAAAATTCAACATTGAAACCATTGTAAACATTGGGCTCGGGCTCAAGACGTCTTCTGGCTGTGATGTTGCTGCACCTCTAACCATCAAACTGGACATCATGCCAATTCGCAGAACTCGCTTTGCAAGCGTCATGCTGCTGCTGCTTTGCTGCAGCCCGCACTCATCGGTGAGATCTCTCTGCACTCGCCTGATGGCGAGCTTCAAGTCCAGCCTCTCCTGCTGCTCTGTGAATTCCGCTTCACCAACAGGAACTCCATCTTCATCTGTAACTCCAAGATGGTACAACAACAGGTTGACCCTAGGCTTCGGAAGAGCCTTTGTCATCAAGTCTGCAACATTCACTGCAGTCGATACTGCAGCACAACTAATTTCTCCAGCACGCGCCTTGCTCTGAATCCAAAGCAACTTTCCCTCCAAATGTTTGATCTTCCCTGAGCCTTGTCTGGCCACCACTCCGCGGCAAGCGGATGAGTCACTCAGCAACCTGAGGAACACTGGCTGGGTGCCAAGCAAGAATCTGAGGTTGTTCCGAATGTACAAGGCATCGCATGCTGTGGAAACTGCAGCGTTGAATTCGCTTTCTGCACTTGAAAGTGACACGCTCTTTTGTGTCCTTGATGCACTTGTCAAAACGACATTGTTCCACATCAGCACCATGCCCGTGACCGAGCGTCTGGTCTGTTTGCATCCAGACCAATCTGCATCACTGTACGCTTCCAACAAATGTTCCCCGCCTGGGCTCTTGGTGACAAAGCCCTTGCCGATTGAAGGCGTTTCCAAAGTCAGCATCCTGTACTTCACACCCTTCAAATAGCAAACCAAATGAACTAACAAACGGTATGAACCACTCGTAGGCTGCGCCATGTGCTGGGCCAAAAGCCGGATGCAGTACTGCGCCTCAAACACATCATGAGACATGTACAGCAACACTCCTACGGCTGACCTGTAAATGTGCGCAGACTCATCATCGAGGGCTTGGTTCATAGAATCTGTGGGGAGATTACCAACGGGTGCTGGTGTCTTTCTTGCTTTGCAAGTTTCCACACCAAGCATCAGTTCCAATTGCTCAATGTGTTTGCTGTGCGGGCGAATTCCCAATCTGTTGTTAGTCATCAAAACATGTGTCCGCTTGAGAAAAGTTAGTTCGTCTCCAACGTTGCGGACCCACTCAACGGTCACTTCATAGTGCTCTTGCACTTTGTCTGCAATTCTCTGCAAGATCCACGGGTGTCCTGCAAACAAAAAATCGTCCACATGCATCAGAAATGCTGCAAATCCATCTGCATACACTACCTTGAAAAGTGATGGGTTCTCAATGCAAGATTCAACTGGCGCGCATGCTGTGATATACTCAGTGAACTCTGTCCACCAATTGCTGCTGCCATCTCGCTGGCCGGGAATGATTTATGCAACGCAAAACTTCTTTTCTCACCGTCCACCTCCAAGGTCACAACGGTCTTGTGCTTCTGCGCACATGTCAAATAAGCATCTCGAACATCCATGGACATGAGATGAAACTGCTCCTGATGTTTCACCAACGGTGTCCGATTGTGCACAAACAATGCTGGGATGATTCGGCTCACAGTGCTCGAGGATGCGGGAGCAAACAAATGTTCCCTGTCGGGATCCAACCATGCAAATTCTTTTGCCACAATCCGTGACCTGCGCAACTGCTTAAGTTCATTGCCCACCATTTTCGGCCTCCAAGTCCGCACGAACCTGGCCCCCAAATGTCTGTGGTCTGGGAGCGAATGCACCCCAAGTGCAAGTGGCTCCAAGGCTCCCATGTCAACAAGCCTTGAAATCTCGACTCTATCTGCAAGATTGTCCACATCCTGCAGGGCATCTGCAGCGAGCTCCGGCTCATATGCCCCGCCCGGAAAATACAGACTCTCGGCTTCTTCTTTGCTGGGCTTGATGTCCTCTGTCATCTGATCGAACTCCCACGAGTCATCGTAGGCTTCCAAGAATTCCAAATCTTCTTCTGCAAATGCAGTCGCTGAAGGTTCATCTGCATGCCCCAATGCTTCACCACCAATCATGCAAACGCCAGTGAGCTCTTTTGTAACCATGCTGACATTTCCCGCATGCATAGGAGGCGCTGCTAACCGCGCACGCTTCGCACTGTCGATTTTGGCCTGCTTGTGCGGCCTTTCATCTACTGGATCTGCATCTGCGGCTCGGGATGAGCCTGATGCTGGTGCACTTGCTGTCACTTCCATATCTTCACCAACTGGCTCCAGAACTGACTGAAAGAAGCCAGGATCATTTGACGCTTCTGCATCTGAAGTTGACTCACTTGTGCTTGAATTTCTCCTTTCTGCGGGTGAGGAAGGAGGATCACTTGCGGCTTCATCTTGCACGACAATTTCTTTGTTCACAACCAACTCGTCTGACAACAAGGATTCAAGTGGTGCCCCATCATCATGCAGTGGGACAAATGTTTCAACTGGCTTTGCTGTCAGTGTGGCCGGCTTTGCAAAAACAACCAAACCGCTCATCAAACCCGGATAGCACCACGAATGCTGTGTCAGTGCTCCATCCAGCGATTTATCCCACACTGCCGGTGTGCGTTTGATCGTCCTTGAGGCTACAAGTTGCCCGCCTGCAGTCACAACGCAGTGAGCATCATTGCTGGCCAATTTGGTCAGCCAAAGTCCTCGAATGAATCTTGGGTCCCCCTTGGAACGTTGCTGAACCCTTGCAAAAACTGCTTCACCAAATTGCACAATTGAACCTGAATAAGGCATCTGAAAAGCACGTTCAAAAGCTGTTTGTCCATCTGGCGCGTTGTACCTGTTCAAAAGAAATGCTGCATGCTTCCATGCCCAAGAATGAATGGGAGAAGTGCTTTGAACACGTACCTGAGCACCATCTTCATATTGCTGCAAAAGCAACTGCGCCTGTTGCCTGAGGCTCTGGATTGCTTGTTCAACAGCACCATTGGATGCGTGGTCGTGCGAGGCGTTGTACTCATTTTTCGTAGACATACCAACCTGCAAACGTTGGGTGGTAACCATCTCCTGCAAACATCTCATAGTTGGCTCGCTGTCGCTTTTCAAAACAACATCGTTGTAACCAAGCATGCTTGCAAACCTGCAAATCTCTTTGCACAAATACCGCAACCAACGCTGAGTGCCTTTCTGCTCCACAGGGATAGCCTCCAGGAAACGGGTTTGCCTGTCATGCAGTACGAGTGTGACAAGCTTGCGTGCCTTTTTATCTGTTTTCTCATCTGGATGATCTTCATCCTGCGCGGGTTCTTCACGCTGGTCTGCATGCCTTCCGGTATAACAGAAATCCATTGAAATCACCGAACGGGATCTCATGTCTCCAACTCGCCCTTGATGACGGCGATCTCTTGCTTTGTATTGGGTGCAATACTGACACCATGGAGCAAATGGCAAATGCGTCAGAACATGCTTCTTCACTGCATCTGCTGAAGGCATTTTCGGCAGTGGCAACTCAAGAGGTTCTCGCGCCTGCTCGGCCTGGCCCTGAAGCATCACCTGATGTTGCTCCTTCAGCTTGATCATGCGCCAGTGCCTGACAAGCCTGTCGTAGATTGTTGCCTTGCCACCTGACTTGCCAAGTCCCCAAAGTCTGCATGCTTCACGCAAATCACGCAACGGAGAATCTGAGGTTACAGTGATATCATCAATTGTGAGTGATGCCGGAACTTCTGGACTCGCATCTCTGGCTGCCAAGTCAGTCCGCTCAACCTCCTCAGCACTCGGCGTCTCTGGGCCTTCTGGTTCCTCTCGGAGAGGTTCCGAACCATCCGCATTCAGCCCTGACGGTGCCGAGGGTTGATGCATTTCATCTGGCAACGTCTCTTGAACATCTGCAGCAGTTAATCCATGAAACTCGTTTTCCAAAACAGTAAATCCCATCTGCTCGCAACTCATCATGATTTTGCAACCAAAAGTGATCAGCGGCGAAGGTCCTTCCAGCTCAGGAATCTGACAATCCGCTCGGACCATGCTTTCAATGCTAGTCCCAAACTCGATCATCTGCCACTCCGAGTTCACATACACAAGAGTTGTCCGAAATTGCAACTGTGCTGTGGGCAAATTTGCTGAAACATCCACAAAGCTACTGCCAAATGATTTCAGTGCCCAACATTGCTCATTCACCTGCGTCCATGTGCCACCAAGGTCTGCAAGTTCCTGGCTTAGGCTCACACTACGGATAGTCGTGATGCCGGTAAGGTCGGGATCTGGACAAAACATCGCTGCCAATGCATCACCTGTCGATTGCGAAGACGGCTGAACATCCTGCAAGAAACTGTCTGCTGGTTCCTGCATCTGAACATCTGAATTGTCATCACATGCATTGACTGCTCGCGCACAACCAAAAACGCTCAAACTATTCTTCCGATAAAACACAGGGATCCTATGCTTGCCATTTGTCAAAGTGGTAGATCCAGTGGGTCCTGCTTCAATTGACCAACCTGCACGCACAAGTTTCCCAACTGCAAGAAGTGGTTGGCTCACACTTGTGACTAAAAAGTCCTCGGAAAATACCGCATCTCCAAGGCTGACTTCAGCACGCCGTCTGGCTTGCTGCTGCATTTGATTTCCTGAAGCATCTCTGAAAACCATCCTTCCACCAGAGCTTTCATGGCCCACTTGTGCAAACTGCAATGGTAAACATGAAATGTCAGCACCTGAGTCCAATATGATTTCCATCTCGGTGCCGAAGGTCTCGCTCGGGTCGCAGTTCACAGTTCGCAAATGCAAAACTTCATGCATGCATGGCTCATGCGTCCAATTCTCATCATGATCTGTCAAACTCATGTCGAAAACAACTGGCTGATGTTGCATGCGTGTCTGCTCGTTGCCGCAAGTGTCCATGATGCAATCAGTCTGCAAACCACCATTTCTTCCGTGAGCCACATCCAAACAAACCATGCGAATGCCGTACAAAGATTCCGTGTCCGTGTCATTCTCATGCAGTGAAAATATTGTTAAATCATAGTGGTTGTCATCTTCAGCAATGTGATACACGGTCGGAGCGGAAACACGGCGAACACTGCTGGTTGTTCTGTAAGTTGTGGAGGATTTCACCGAAGGGGTTGGGCTAGGTTGCACTGGATCTGGTTTTCCCGTTGACAAACTCGCATCAGTGACAGTAGGGCTCTTCGGGTACTCGGTGCCTGATGTAACACGAACTGTACCTGCTTCTTTGTCACGCAAATACGAGTAACAGTCTCGCTTCCAATGACCTTTCTTGTTGCAGTAATTGCAAACGTCACCTGTCTTGTCCTGCTTGCCATCGTGCGACCTGCCCTTGCCATAACCCTTGCCGTGGCCTTTGCCCTTACCACGACTGTCTTTGCCTTTGCCCTTTCCAGAGCTTTGATCTTTTCCTTTGCCTTTACCTTTGCCCTTCTTGCCTTTGTGCTTGCCCTTAACCTGATCGACCTGCATGTCATCAGGATCTGCATCACGTAAACCAAAACTTGTGGTCAAGCTAGTGGTCCACCTAGTTTGGGCAGCATCATACCGTAGAACCAATGCACGCAGTTCTTGGTAAGTTGCGGCGTCTGTAACAACTAATGCACAATGTTGGCGAAGTTGACCATGTAAGCATGTCAACAAAATTGAAATCTTGTGATTCTCATCTAAGCCTCTGCCAGCAACAGCTTCGTATTCTGCCATTGCACTTTCCAGCTTTGAGATCTGCAAAGTCAAACCTTGCTTCATGTCAAACTGCGGCCAGTCACCCAGGAGCTGAAGCAATGTCAACGTACGTGACCTCGAATTCGGAATCAAGTCACTGTTTAACTGCCTCAAAGCTTCGTACCCATTGTGGTTGCCTACACTCCTGAGGATCTGCCTACCACGCTCATGCAAAAGTCCCGCTAATACAGCGTAAAGTGTTCTGGTGCGGCGTTGCGTTTCAGGTGTCATAGAACTGAACTCTAAAGCTTCAGTTGCATTCCTAACAACCTGCATCTCGTCTATGTAGCCGACATCAACGGCTGCAAGCCACTGTTCTAACTCCCAAAGCCATTGACGCCAACCAGCAAGCTCCTTGTCTCTGGTCGCTGCCTCAAAGCGCTCCGGCTGCCGAAGAATCCTCACGACGTCCTTCGCTTGAACAGTATCATTGCCAGGCTGATCTCTTGATGCCTGGGCCTGCACCAACTCCTGTACCTGTGTAGCTGACTGCTGAGCAATCTGCAGAGCTGCTTGTGTTGCCGTCTGCAACTGTGCAAACCATACATCTGGGTTTGTCATCTGTGGCTGTTGCCCATTCTGAGCTTGTCCCTGATCCATCAGTACCGCAAAGCAATACTCAGGATGTAACCAGTAGAAATCTCAAAATGCAAGCTACAGCTACGGCCCGGTCCCTTGTGGAGCGCGGGCTCCGCTACCATGCTTTCTTTTCACTGTGCCAAGACGCCTGCGCGTAAGTCGGAGGCTCATGTACAAAAGCAAAATCGTGTGAAAACTCAAGTGATGTTCATCCTAAGTACCACACGTACACAAGTATGCAAGGGAGCTAAATGATTAGCATAATTGAAGATTGCTGAGCGGATGCCAGCGACGGTGGCATCAGCGATGATGCACTCCCGCTTTTGCATCAACTGGGGCGCTTCGGGCGCTTGCAACATGAAGTCGGTCGTCATGGCTATCAAGCAAGTCTTCCTTGAAGACGGGGGACCTCCCACTAGCACTGGGATGTTGGGCGCCTCAGTGTGCTCTCCTGACTTGTGGCCAACACGTCGGCCATGGTGCTCTAGAAATGCTATGTTAGCATAGAAGCACCAGGCCAAGGCTTCGTCGTGCAAGCCGTTCCCTTCGCTAAGGCTCTTCACTGCTTGCATGAAAGGCGCGGGCAGGCAGCGCCTCAGGTCGAAGGATATGTCAGAACTGACAACTCTGTGACCACGCTCTTCGTCTGCCACCATGCGCAGCCAGTCCTTAACGGTAGAAGCCGTGTCTTTGGCTGTACCCATCCCGGTAGCAAAGTTGTCCGAGAAGAGGAGCTTGCGCGCGGCTAACTCATCATTGGCCACCCCCAGGCTGTTGAGAAGGTTTTGCATGTGATCAGCGTGCTGGTTTGCAGCGATCCACTTCGCGCCAGCTGCTGCAGAATCTTGGAATCTGAGTCCAAAATGCTGATCCTCCATCTTGGGCGCGCCAGGCGAGCGCTGCGAAGAGAATGCGTCGGGCGACTCGGTCTCACGGGGTAGAGGTTGCGGCGTTCTTGGTGTGTTTTCCTCGGGGTTCTCGTGCCTTGCTGAGTATTCGCAGGCACTTGCCGTGCGATCGCGTTGGTCGCTCGTACCACTTGGCGACTCGGTCTCACGAGGCACAGGCTGCGGCGTTTTCGGTGTGTTTTCCTCGGGGCTCTCGAGCATTGCTGAGTATTCGCAGGCACTTGCCGTGCGATCGCGTTGGTCGGTCGTACCACTTGAGCCTAGGAGCCACGAGCTGGGACGCAATGTCAACTCCATGCCCAGGGCATCATGCAGCAGCCCGCTTTCTTGCCCTAAACGCAAGCAAAGCAAAGCAGCCTCTGTGCAACAAGGTGCCTTGCGAAACTCACAAGAGGCGCTGCAAGAAAATGGTAGCCTTGTGGAAACCCTTGAGCATTCAGCATCCCGGGCTTGCAACTTGGCCGCTTTCTTTTGCACCACGGGCCGCGAAGCTTACGCGCGCGGCGGGCCCTCCCGAATCGGGACCCTCTCGTCTGCCACGAGTTCGCGGAACCGCTGCCAAGCTGCTTCATCCTGGCATCTCACTCTGGTGAAACCGATGTTGCGGGACACTTTGCATTTCAACATGGCGGCTACTTGCCCCCAGCTCAAAGATAGAGGCCTCAGGTCATAGACGATCTGCACGTCAACCAAATCAACCTTAACTGCCCCTGCTATGTACTCGGAGAAAGGGGCCTGCAAGTGCTGAGGCAAAGAGCCCACACGGCCCTGGATCTCGGCGAGCTTGATATTTCGCATTGCTGGGCCTGCCAGCACAGCAGCCCCAGCCACTTGCTCCGAGCCGCTTTCTCCAAACAAAACCCACACTCCAGCTTTGGCGAATTTCATGGCGTTGCCTTTTTTCTCCCTGTAGCTCTGGGCCTCAAACATCTTTTCTCCGCTCGCCAAGGCGCGGCACCACATTGGCTTTAGCACTCGGCAGTACAAGTCTGGCGTGCTCGCGGCTTCCGCCTCCACATCATCTTGCCCTGAAGACGCTAGACTTGGCTGACCGCAGCCCATGCTAGTTGCCCAAGCGCCCAGCTCCACGGCCAACGACTCCTCGCCTCCGAACAAGACTGCCTCCGCCAACTTCATGACGCCTTCTACCTGTTCGTGCACCAGCGTGTCTTCCCGGGCCCAGCCGGGCAATCCATGTTTGTGGAAGTGGCGGTAATTGAATCGCAAGAATGCCAGGTTGGATAGGAAAGACCACCAAGCCTCACTGATGTTCGTTGCTTCCTTTGGAATGAACCTGCCGATGTTCGCCCACAGCCGCTCAACAGGGATTGTCCCAGAGTGCGACTCAATGCCTGCTGCGTGCAGCGCTAAAGCAGCTTCCCGCCAGCGCATGAGGCCTTGCAGCCTGACAGGCGCGCGGAGGCGCGAATAATGAGCTGCAACCTTTGCAGTCCACACTTTCGCTCTCCCTTTCACTTCCGCGGATGGAACTTGCCTTCGATCAATGCCACGTCTTCGTCTAGCGTCCCTCCTAGGTTCCCGATACCACGCTTCCATGCGCCGAACCTCATCGAGAAAGTCTTCCTTGCTCTGATAATTGTAGTACCCATGCTTGGCCGGCAGCGTTGCCCCCAGCAGCCTCGCTGCGCGCGCAAGCACGCCATGCGGAGGAGCGGCTTTGAAAAGGGCGGGCCAAACCTCGTGGTCCTGACCGTTCTCGCAAGCAAGCAGCGCACGCAGCTCCTGCGCTTCTGCAGGTGCACTCGCCACCGCCTCTGCCACTTTTGCCGCCGATTCTTTCACACACGCGCGCAATAACTCCTGAGCTGCGTGCGTGACGGCCAAGTCTGCGGCCGTGGCGCCAGATGCCGCCTGACTAGGGCGAGGAGGAGCGTTGAGCCTCAGAATCAAACTTTCGTGGTCCTTCAGAAAGCACCGGCAATCGTTCGCGGCTGGGGACGCAATGCGGCGCAGAGCAAACAAATCGTGCATGGGCTCCCCCGTGACACGAAACAGCCACCTAGCAAGGCTACCATCCTCGGAAGCAACGGCAATCTTACCATAAGCATCTTTGCAGCGGGTGGGCGCTCGTCCCTCTACCCGCAGATCCTGCCACACACGGCCGTAGAGCTTGCAAAGCTTTTGCCGATGCTTGTGAGACGAGTCCGTGGCATGGAAGCACGGCAAAGACTCTTGTAAGCTGAATCCGGCCTGCAGCCGGGCGCGCTTGATCTTCCTTAACAGCGGGCCCAAGGACGCCTCAACGCAGGGCCAGGACTCCGCTTCAGCCAAGGACACCGGCGCCAACAAGCTGCCATCGACCCCGCACCAGCCCAAAGCAACGGAGTACCTGTGGGTCCTCTTACCATCAACCATAGAGACAACAGCCTTCGCAAGATCATAGTTACCGTCTCCACGGATCAGTTGCCCATTGTAGACACACTGCCGCTCCTGCATGAGATCCACTCTCTTTTGCACGTAACCTTCAAAGCACTTCAGCAATATATCCTTAATGGCATGGTGGTCTGGGACGCACATCAAAATCCAACGTAGTTGCGCTGCTTCTGAAAGGGACGGAGTCATCTGGGCGGCATGCAGCACGGAGGCTGAATACAGATCCAGTAGCTTCCTTCGCACTGCATGCAAATTCAAGTTGCTGTACAACATGAAGAGCAGCCAAAACAGAAGCAAGGGAGAGGCAGACACCTTGCCGTGCCTAGTATCCTCGCAGCGAATCACTGCGCCTAGGCCCAAACGAGAGCACTCGGCATCCATGTCGGCAGGTGTCACCTGCCAAGTCTCGGAGTCGCAGCTGCGGCACCGCCACGGGGTCATATCCCAAATTTGGGGGCAAGGCACATCTAGTGTAAACTCAAAGCGCTGACGGTCTGCGCGAGGCAGCACCCGGTGACCCGGAAAGCGTTTTTCATGCAGCTCTGCAGCTGCTGGCTTCAGCGATCTTCGAGCGAGCGGCTGCGGCTGCGCTGACATCCAGCTAAGCGTCCTGCTTTCAGAAACAGACGCAGCCTCAGCGGCCTTGGCCCTGGCGCGGTGCACTGCTTGGGCAGGATCGGCAGCATCGCAGAACTCTTTCACGACCACGCGGCCCCGCGCCACCTCTACAACCTCGTGCTGCAAGCGCACACTGGACAACTCTGCTGACCTACACGTTACGACATCTCCGAGCACCCACTGCCCAGCGGCCGCAAGACGAAGAATGGCCACATCATTCCTTGGGCAACCCCGCACCATGAAAGAATCCAGCACCAGGACATCCTGCCCTTGCCATGTTGCTGTCAAACCACGGACGGCAGGCAGAGAAGTCAACTGCTCCGTCGAGATCGCACTGAGCAAAGAGGTCTGGAGTAGAAGCACGTAGTTGCGGCTTGAGCGGCCCGCTGCGAGCCTTTGCGCCACCGCACCGACATCGAGAGCAGCATCTCGAGCGCCAAAACTCGAACGTACCCTCTTCGTCGCCTGCGACTTTGAACTGTCTGGCGCCGCCGCAGCGGCCTTTCTCTTTCTGCTGCGGCTCTTGGCTGTCGCTTCTGCGCGCACAGTGGCCCGCTGGACTGCCGCAGAAGACGCGGATGGCAAGGCTTCACCTGTCGGCACCCTGACCGGCCGACCAGTCCCTGGCAAGCGCTTAGGCCATGGCTGCATGCTGCGGCAGGCGCTGACAAGCACTGCAAACGCTGTGATGCTTAACGCCTACACCAAGTCTCGAGGGAACGCTGAAGACGTGATCTCTCCTACAATCTTTGAGTGAGAAAGGCAAGCTAATCACAATAGCATCTGCAGGCACCCCGCCGTGCAGCTCCTGTTGGACTGAGCCGCTGAGAAGTCATTAGCAGGCGAACACTCAACCGCACGCAGAAACCACTTCACTCGGCACCCGCTTAAGAGCAAAAATTGCAAACTGCCACCACAAATACTCGGGGTCTGCCTTTTTCAAAACAAGCGCCAAACCGGCACACACGCTTACCTCCACAGAACCCACCCTTACAATATGGCTGGTAACCCTTGAGCAACGCAAGGATGGAAAAATGCGCTGCACCACTGGCCGATGGCCTGAAGGCACTCAGTTCAAAAAATCCACTCAAATCTGGAAATGTCATATCAATGCGGAAAAAGGAAACTGTAACGCAAGGAAGTAAAACACCACGCACGTTACTCCAGGGTCCGGCTAACACCGTTCCCCTCTATGACTCTATCACCAGCATCCGGGGTTCCCTGATCCTATGGTCTCGCTCTTTACGCTCCTGGCGATAGAACTGCCACCTCCCCAGCAGGTGCGTCCGCAGAAATAACACCTGGTTGCACAGTACCAGAATGGAGTGTCTGGAAATCATATCTTGCCGGAACAGGTCGGGCCTTTTTCCTCGCGAACTGCCTACTCTAGCAGCTGGAGCCGGAAATGGTCTCCTCGTCTTCTCTCCTGTTTTCCCCTCGTCTTCCCTCATTATCTCCTCGTCTTCTCTCCTCGTCTTCTGTCCTCGTCTTCTCATCTCGTCTTCTCTCCTCGTCTTCCCTTCTCGTCTTCTCTCCTCGTCTTCTCATTTCGTCTTCTCTCTCGTCTTCCCTTCTCGTCTTCTCTCCTCGTCTTCTCTCCTCGTGTTCTCTCCTAGTCTTCACTGATTCTCTCCTCGTCTTCTCTCCTCGTCTTATCTCCTCGTCTTCTCTCCTCGTCCTCACTGATTCTCTCCTCGTTTTCTCTCCTCGTCTTATCTCCTTCTTATCTCCTCGTCTTCTCTCCTCGTCTTCTTTCCTTGTCTTCTCTCCTCGTCTCACTTGTCGGCACCCTGACCGGCCGACCAGTCCCTGGCAAGCGCTTAGGCCATGGCTGCATGCTGCGGCGCTGACAAGCACTGCAAACGCTGTGATGCTTAACGCCTACACCGATTCTCGAGGGAACGTTGAAGACGTGATCTCTCCTAACAAGGAAGAGACAATGGCATCTGCAGGCACCACGCCGTGCAGCTCCTGTTGGACTGAGCCGCTGGGAAGTCATTAGCAGGCGAACTCTTCTCTCCTCGGCTTCTCCCCTCGTCTTCTCTCCTGCTCTTCTCTCCTCGTGTTCTCTCCTCGTCTTCACTGATTCTCTCCTCGTCTTCTCTCCTCGTCTTCTGTCCTCGTCTTATCTCCTCGTCTTCTCTCCTCGTCTTCTCTCCTCGTCTTCTCTCCTCGTCTTCTCTCTCGTCTTCTCTCCTCGTCTTCTCTCCTCGTCTTCCCTTCTCGTCTTCTCTCCTCGTCTTCTCTCCTCGTGTTCTCTCCTCGTCTTCACTGATTCTCTCCTCGTCTTCACTGATTCTCTCCTCGTCTTCTCTCCTCGTCTTCTCCCCTTGTCTTCTCTCCTCGGCTTCTCTCCTCGTCTTCTCTCCTCCTCGTCTTATCTCCTCGTCTTCTCTCCTCGTCTTCTCTCCTCGTCTTCTCTCCTCGTCTTCGTTCCTCGTCTTCTCTCCTTGTCTTCTCCCCTCGTCTTCTCATCTCGTCTTCTCTGCTCGTCTTCCCCTCTCGTCTTCCCTTCTCGTCTTCTCGCTCTTCTCATCTCGTCTTCTTTCCTCGTCTTCCCTCTAGCAGCTGGAGCCGGAAATGGTCTCCTCGTCTTCTCTCCTCTTCTCCCCTCGTCTTCCCTGATTATCTCCTCGTCTTCCCTTCTCGTCTTCTCCCCTCGTCTTCTCTCCTCGTCTTATCTCCTCGTCTTCCCTTCGCGTCTTCTCCCCTCGTCTTCTCTCCTCCTCGTCTTCTTTCCTCGTCTTCTCTCCTCGTCTTCCCTTCTCGTCTTCTCCCCTCGTCTTCTCTCCTCGCCTTCTCTCCTCGTGTTCTCTCCTCGTCTTCACTGATTCTCTCCTCGTCTTCTCTCCTCGTCTTCTGTCCTCTCTTCCCTTCTCGTCTTCTCCCCTCGTCTTCTCTCTCCTCGTCTTTCTCCTCGTCTTCTCTCCTCGTCTTCTCTCCTCGTCTTCTCTCCTCGTCTTCTCTCCTTGTCTTCTCTCCTCGTCTTCTCATCTCGTCTTCTCTGCTCGTCTTCCCCTCTCGTCTTCTTCTCGTCTTCTCTCCTTGTCTTCTCATCTCGTCTTCTTTTCTCGTTTTCCCTTCTCGTCTTCTCCCCTCGTCTTCACTGATTCTCATCTCGTCTTCTTTCCTCGTCTTCTCTCCTCGTGTTCTCTCCTCGTCTTCTGTCCTCGTCTTCCCTTCTCGTCTTCTCCCCTCGTCTTCTCTCCTCCTCGTCTTATCTCCTCGTCTTCTCTCCTCGTCTTCTCTCCTCGTCTTCACTGATTCTCTCCTCGTCTTCTCTCCTTGTCTTCTCTCCTCGTCTTCTCATCTCGTCTTCTCTGCTCGTCTTCCCCTCTCGTCTTCTTCTCGTCTTCTCTCCTTGTCTTCTCATCTCGTCTTCTTTTCTCGTCTTCTTTCCTCGTCTTCCCTCTAGCAGCTGGAGCCGGAAATGGTCTCCTCGTCTTCTCTCCTCTTCTCCCCTCGTCTTCCCTGATTATCTCCTCGTCTTCCCTTCTCGTCTTCTCCCCTCGTCTTCTCTCCTCGTCTTATCTCCTCGTCTTCCCTTCGCGTCTTCTCCCCTCGTCTTCTCTCCTCCTCGTCTTCTTTCCTCGTCTTCTCTCCGCGTCTTCCCTTCTCGTCTTCTCCCCTCGTCTTCTCTCCTCGCCTTCTCTCCTCGTGTTCTCTCCTCGTCTTCACTGATTCTCTCCTCGTCTTCTCTCCTCGTCTTCCCTTCTCATCTTCTCCCCTCGTCTTCTCTCCTCCTCGTCTTCTTCTCTCCTCGTCTTCTCTCCTCGTCTTCTCTCCTCGTCTTCTCTCCTTGTCTTCTCTCCTCGTCTTCTCATCTCGTCTTCTCTGCTCGTCTTCCCCTCTCGTCTTCTTCTCGTCTTCTCTCCTTGTCTTCTCATCTCGTCTTCTTTTCTCGATTTCCCTTCTCGTCTTCTCCCCTCGTCTTCACTGATTCTCATCTCGTCTTCCTTCCTCGTCTTCTCTCCTCGTGTTCTCTCCTCGTCTTCACTGATTCTCATCTCGTCTTCTTTCCTCGTCTTCTCTCCTCGTCTCGTCTTCTCATCTCGTCTTCTCTCCTCGTCTTCCCTTCTCGTCTTCTCCCCTCGACTTCTCTCCTCGTCTTCCCAACAAGTCTTCCGCCCTCGTCGTCTCTCCTCGTCTTCTCCCCTCGTCTTCTCTCCTCGACTTCTCCCCTCGTGTTCTCTCCTCGTCTTCTCTCCTCGTCTTCTCTTCTCATCTTCTCTCCTCTTCTTCTGTCTTCTCTCCTGATCTTCTCTCCGTCTGGGGCAGGTGTGGGAATCTAAGTTTGCCTATCACCGCCTCCCTCTTACAGTGCCTTCTCGTCGTTTCAAGTTGTTGCTCCTTTTCGTTTCAGGTCATCGCCGTCTCGTTTCGAGTCAGCCCGGTCGGTGTCCGACCATCCCTCCCGACTCAAACAGCGGATCGCAGTCTTATCGCTGATGCCAGGCCTCGGCCTCGGCCTTTTCGTTTCCAATCGTGTTTTCCGGTTTAACTCGAATCGTTTTGCTGGGCCACGCAGGATCGCTCCGCTCTTCGGCTTCTGAGCTTCTCGGCTTCTCGGCTTGTCGCTGGCTTCTCGGCCTCTCGGCTTCTCGGCTTCTCGGCTTCTCGGCTTGTTGCTAGCTTCTCGGCTTCTCGGCTTCTCGGCTTCTCGGCTTCTCGGCTTCTCGGCATGTCGCTAGCTTCTCGGCTTCTCGGCTTCTCGGCTTCTCGGCTTCTCGACTTGTCGCTGGCTTCTCGGCTTCTCGGCTTCTCGGCTTCTCGGCTTGTCACTGGTTTCTCGGCTTCTCGGCTTCTTGGCTTCACGTTGTTCGCGCGGGCCCCCTTTACCCCTGCATTGGGAAATGCTAAAACATCCAACCATGTACATCAAAAGCTCCATGCGGTCTTTTGACAAGCGTTTCGTTCCCAAGTCGCTGGGGTTTTCCTGAGAGTTCACATGTGTCCAGAGGATGCGGCATCCCAAGTGACGCACTCTGCCTATACGCCTGATCTCCGCAGAATCTGTTCACATGCACAATTGTCAACGTGTAGTGTGATGTGAACTGCACCGTCAAACATGAACTGCAAGCACGAACGAATCAAAATCGTGTCGCAAAGACCTGATGTCGCTGAATATAGTTCAGCTTCAGCTGAAGATAGGGCAATGGTGCGCTGAGTGCGCGATGAGGAGTACAGCAAATTTCCTCCAAGGAGAATTGCCGCAGACGAAACCGAACGTCGAGTAGTTTTGTTGGCTGCCCAATCTGAATCCGTAAACAGGTCAACAGTACAGTCACAAGGAAAGTCCTCGAAACCGGCACTTGGTGGTGTGAGGAGTATCCCATTATCTACTGCTCCTAGCAAATATTGTGCAAGATGCCGCAATGCTTGCAAAGCCAAATACGTGGGACTGGACATCATCTGAGCAAGGGCTCGAATTGTGAACTGACACTCAACCAAGTCTCCAGACAAATACATAAGTATGCCAATGCATGAACAATACAGAGTAATGTCCTTCGGGCCGAGCGGTTCTGACTTGTCCACTTCCTGCAACATCGGATGAGCAGGGGTTGGTTTTGGCCTCAAGTTGAGGTTCAAACGCAAAAGGCTAAACAACTTGTCGAAGTGCTTCACGTGCGGCGTGATCAAAATGTTGCCTTCAACAGTGAGCAAATGCTTGCGCTTGAGAAAACTGATCTCGTCACCTGCCTCCTGAAGCGTCTCGATGTTGAAATCATACGCTTTGGCAAGTGTAGGCAAAAGTTTGCCATGCAAGAATTCACTTTTGCACAAGATCATCATGTCATCTACATGCAACAAAATAAAACAACACCCGCAATCGCTCCTGAGAATTGAGGGGTACGTGGGACATGGCCTAATCTGGAACTCATCCAAAAGGAAGGCCGTGATTTCGCCGTGCCAGAGTTGGCTTCCATCACGCTGGCCGGGCAATACCTTTCCCAATGCGTACAGTCTTGAACCTCCTGTAGCATCTTCACACGTCACAAGTGTGGGCTGCCTTTGACAAACCGTCAAGAACGCGTCTGCCACATCCAAGGCGGAAAGAACAAAACCTTGCGAGCGAAGCATCAAAAACAGTGTTGGAAACAGTCTGCTAGTGACATTCGAGCTTGCAGGGCTATACAGATCCTGCCGCTCCTCTTGCCACGCAAACTCTCTTGACATACCTCGAACGTCGCAAATGCACTTTGCGTCCTTCCACCGTCTTCTCTCGCCACGTTCGCACAAAGCGAGCGCTGAGCGTCTTTGGTGGTACCTGCGAATTGTTCAACAAATCATCTGGAGGCAAAAGGACTCCAAGACCGATGAGCCTCTCAATTTCAATTTTGTCTGCAAGCGCGTCCAGCTCCTGCAGCCTGGCTGCATCCAGTTGTGGCTCACCATGGCCTGTGTCTGGGAAAATCAGCTGCTCCTTCGCGGCCGTCAAATCTGGATCTGCCTGTTGGTTGGCCTCTGATCCATCTCGAAGATCATCATCGTAATCCTCAAGATATTCAGATTCATGCTGGTCAAAACAAAACTGAAAGGACTCATCTTCATGGAAATACTCATCACTGCCAATAAAAATGGAATTGCGTTCATCTTGAACTGCCTGAATTCGAATCTGCTTTCTTGGACTGCCACCCTCATCCAGCTCTGCTGTCAAGCCTCTACGAGCGGCTTCATCAGCGCTCAAAGCTGGTGTGGCTGGCTGTGGATCTGTATCCATTGGTGTTGAAACCCCGCCTGAGCCTGATGCCGGATTGGCTGGCACAGGTGGGCCTGGTCCCCGTGGTGAAGCGGGACCTGCCACTGCTGCACTTGGCGGAGGAGGCATCATCCCCGCCTGCAAGTCATTCCCACTACGCGCGGGCAAGCCTGGCGTGGTTGGAGCATCATCTGCAACAACCGGAGTGTCCGGTGGGTCCTCAGCTGCCTCGTCCGGGGTAGCTGGGGCCTGCTGTTGCAAAGCAAAAGGAAAATCAATGGGGAGCTCGACTGGCACTGCCTGTGGTGGCAAAATCCTCTTTGCCAAGATCAGCTTGGATCCTAGGGCTGCATATCCAAAGTCCCAAGGCATCGACTCAACATTGCTCACAAAATCCAAACTCCAAGGTCGGGGCATTCTCCGAACCGAACGAGTAGTAAAAATGCCACATCCATCTCCTGAGGGGACTGCAATCACATGCACATCTCCCTGCATTGTCTTGCCAAGCCATACTCCTTGGCGCCACTGAGGGCCTGCCTTGGCCGCTGTCATCAGGAAACCGTAGACCATCTCTGCATAGGCGGCAATTTTGCCTGAATACTGTCTGTCAGTGCACGCCTCATAGGCGGTCAAACCATTCACAACTCTGTATCTGTTGTAGCACCATGCCGCATGCGGTAGAGACCACACGTAAATGGGGTGGTCACAACCGAAAATGATCTTTCCAGGTGGAGCGCCTCCTTGCCTCTCGAGAAAACTGACAAAAACTCCAGCTTGTTGTCTGACTCCATGCACTGCTTGTTCAACAGCACCGTTTCCTTCATGGTTCCCAATCGCAACTGGTTCTGGCACGGTTGCAACTCCATGCAAACGACATGCCTTGCGAACTGCCTCCATCAAGGAAAGCGTTGCTGATCGCACTTGATGGCGACCTTCGGATGGCCTGTCCACAAAATAAAACGAGTCAGCTCAGTGCAAAGATAAGAGGCGTACCTACCTCCCTTGGCAGGGGTTGGAATTGCATGCACCAATCCTGTGGCGCGGTCATGCGCAAAAAGCACTGTGATCTTATCAGAAGTGTCAGGGCGCCTGCTGCAGTATCCAAAATCAAATGAAATTACACTGTGTGATGCGCGCTCATGATCCTGGTGGTGGTGAGCATCTTGGCGTCCCTTGTGCAGAACGCAATGCTCACACCATGCACGGTATGGAAAATGAGTGGTATTATGTTCATCAATTTCTCGCTGAGTGGGTTGGCGGTGCTGCTTGCACTACTGGCCTTCTTTCCAGCTCATCTGCAATTTGATGTCTGGCTGCATGAGCAGCAAGCAAATCATGCTGCCTCAAATGCTTCACAAGTCTCTCAAAGAGCTGTTTCCTATTGCCCCAAACGGGCAATCCCAAATTGGTACAAGCATCACGCAAAAGTCGCGGTTCAGAGTGGCTGTCCATTCGCACACCTGCAACTTCAATCTCGTTCTGAGCAAGTGGAACAATCTGGTCCTGCTCATCTGCATCAGGCTGTGCAATTGGAACAGCATGTGATTCTGCCTGCTGTTCAGCAGGTGGGTTCTGAAATGCATTTGCTTTTGATTCATTGCTCGTATCAACAAAAAGTCGCTGCAAAGATTCGTCAGTGAAAGGTCGAACATGTCCAAGAGTGATAACTTGCTCAACTGCCTGGGGCAAATTGAAAGGGGCTGTCATCTGGTCCAGAAGGGTGTCCTGGTTGAACTCAATCAAATCCCAAACACCTGAACTGCAAACCAAAGTAGTCCGATACCATGCTAAGAGATCAAATGGTGCAAGAGTTGTGTCAACAAAGGCCGGGTCATGACTGAGTAAGGCATAGACATCGCCTCCAAGGTCGGTCCATCCTGGCTTCAAATGCTTCAAAGGTTCCTGAAGTGTAATCACACGGATCTCCTGCTGAGTGGAAACCATCCTGATCACACCATCTGCACACAGGGAATTGTTTCTGTACCTCAAAGGTATGCGGTTGCTACCCTTAACCAAGCACAAAGAGCCTGATTCATTCTTGATGGACCATCCATCTTGCAAGATTCTTCCCAAGCAAATCAGAGGTGAAGTGATTGGGGCCACTGCAAACCGTTCTCTCAAAACAACGTCGCCAAACCTGATGTCAGCAACACGAGTGTCATGCACGCCTAGCGCGTTCCCTTGTGCATCTACATACTGGGGCTGTCCTACAGCACTGGATTTGTCTGACCTGCCAATGTTTGCATACGAAAGGGGCAGAACTGAGCCGTCCGCACCAGAATCCAAAATAATCGAAATCGCCTGGCCGGGATCAGTCAAAGCACGAAAATGTGTTTGAGGATCTGCTTGAGTGGCTTCACATTCATCTGCAAACATCCAATCCATGTCTGAGTCTGAGTATGTCATGTCAAATGTCGGGCAAGCACTCTTGTACGCGAGCCGAGGCGAAGCAATCTCATGTGAAACTGTTGCAAAATCGCTCTCAGCTGAGCTCATCATGAAAATATTGCCTGTTGAGCTTGCTGACAAATTGGTCAAATCTGCAAAATACGGTTCATCATGGAATGCGTGAAAATCTTCATCACGTTCTTCAGCAAAAGGCAACAAACGAATCTGGCGCTGCTGTTGCTGTTGCATGTTGTACGCAGCTGCTGATGAAGGCTGTGTCAAAGTGGATCCTGTATTGCTGGCTGCTCCTGAAGGTGGAGGTGGTGCAGTGCTTGCTGATGAGGATGCATTGCCAGGGGGCGCCTGTTCCACTTGTCGAACTTGCTGGTTCTGTTGGTCACGCTTGAACGCTCTGCAGTCGCGTTTCCAGTGTCCAGGTTTGTTGCAATACAGACACACGTTCTGGTCAACTCGAGGTCGATCTTGTTGCTGTTGTTGTTGCTGATACTGATGCTTGCCTTTGCCATGGAACTTTCCAGGACCTTTTCCTTTCCCTTTGAATGGAGGCGATGGTCCTCCTTTGCCCTTTCCATGCTTGCCTTTGTTTTTGCCTTTGTGTTTGCCTTTCCCTGAGTTCCAATTGTCGTTGAAACCAACGCGGTCGATTTCCATGGGTGCAACTCCTTGATGCTGTCCGTGCGACGCATGCGAACCAACTCCAAATTCAGAGTGAACCTTGTTTGGAGACCACGTCATGGTTACCTGTTCATATGCAAGCAGAGAAGTCCTCACTTGGTCATATGTACTGGATTCAGTCATCTGCAACTGAACATGCTGTCGAATATGATTTGGCAAAACTCGGGTCAAGGTTGCAAGGGCAACATCATCTGGAACTTCACGTCCTGCAGCACGCCTGTATTCATTTCTCATCAAATCCAAACTCTGGATCTGTTCTCGCAAAGATCGGTCTTTACTAAAAGGTGGGAGATTCATCAAAGCTGTCAACAAAGAAACTGCCCTCGACTTGGTGTGAGGCTGAAATGCAGAGACCAATTGTCTCCAAACCTCAAGTCCATTCCTTTCAGAAACGTTGCACAAAATACGAAAGGGGCGTCCTTTGAGAATACCTGTCAATATACTGTAAAGTTGTGCCACACGCTCCTTGTTTTCATCTGAAAACCCAGAAACATCAACCGGGGTCGCGATGTTCTCCTCCACATGTAAAAGCATAGCCTCAAATTCTGAATCTGCGTAGAAAAGCCATGCCTTGAACTGCACACTCCAGTCAGGAAATTCTGCACGCTCATCTTCTGGAGTATCTGGTCCAAAAACTGCAGGTTGCTTGACCACTTTGCTTGCTTCTGAAAACCGTCCAGCTCCAGCTGTTTGAGTCGAGCTAGAGGAGCCTTGGGCCGCTGATTGAATCTGCTCAATTCGCAAGGCCGCATTGGCCGTAGACTCCGCTGCACGAATCAGAGCTTGTGTGAGCTGAGCAATCTCCGGGGTCGCCATGTCTGCTCCAAGCAATATGCGCACACCCAGAAAATGTAATCAAGCAAAAGTCGCAAGCTGCAAATGGAAAACTGCGGTTGCAAGTCAAATATCGTTCCAGCACTCCAAAGCCAGTGAAAGTGTAATGGCTGCCGCGGGCCGAAACAAACCTAGGGGCTCTACGTCGAACCGGGGTCCCTGAGTCACTGCTCGTTTGAGTCAGTGTTCCGCTACCATGATTATTTTTTTTGCAACCAAACGCCTAGCGGATGCATTCATCACATGGTTTCATGTGGCAACTGTTTAGTGAGTTCAAACTGTACAACTCATGCAAAACACGTGGTGTGTACATGGGATCTTAGGTGTCCAAAAAACCTAATCACTTTACCAAGTGCGTCGACGAAGTGCTGCGTGCTGCCTTGGCGTTTCGGCCGGGCGACGCGGTACAGTCGCGAGAGAATGCGGAGCACGAGATCCGAGCCCGCAAGTGGGCTGTGCGCTTCGTCGTGGCGCACGACGAAGCGTCCAAAACTAGGAGCAGGCAGTATTCTTTTGTGATTGATAAAATCAAAGAAGCCTTGGAAAAGGAGTCCCTGACAAAAGAGGAAGCCTTCACGTTGAGGGACAAATTGTGTGCCAAGCACCCTTGAAAAAGGCAGGCCCTACGCAAAGCAAACGCGCTAGAAGCTCTTGAAAAAGGGCAGCCTTTGAAAAAAGGCAAGGGTTGCCAAAGTGCAAACCGCTGCGCACAAGGAGGTGGACGTGAAAGGAAAATGTGAGGCGGCGCTGTTTCCCTTGATAAAACCCACCTCCCTGCCACTATATTATAACTAAGGGGCAGTTTACCCTTTTAGTTTTTAGGGGATGGCTTGCCCCCCTAAGGTCCATCTTTTTTGCATGTGGGGTTGGGAAGTGGATGGGTGGTCTTTTTAATGGGTGGTCTTTTTAAAGAATCGGTTTCAAAACATGCTTTCACGCCGCAGCAATTTGAGCCTCAAGCTACTTCTTTTTTTTTGCATCTGCGCGTGTGCAAGCCTTTGCAAAAAGGCACGTGCGTTGAGTCTGCAAGCCTTTGCAAAAAGGCAATGCCCTGGGTCAACCTGCCCCGGGAGAACATCCGGGAAATGATGCCCTGGGCCAACAGGGCAGGCCGGCCCTGGGGGACCGGCACGACCTCAAGGGCCAGGCAAGCCAAAAGGGCGGTTCAGAAAGAGTTGTTGGTGAGTCCGCGCGGGACGCACTCCCTTGGGAAAGGGACAGCTGGGACGTCCTTGGGAAAGGGACGACTGGGCGGGCTGGGTGGAACACTCTTGGGAAAGAGGGCAGTGGGAGGAGAAGCACCCTTGGGAGAGAAGCAGGTCCCCCAGCCATAGCCATAGGTCATGGGAGTCCTTGGAAAAGGACAGAAAGCAATGGCACGAGGACAGCGAAAAGGCAAGCCCTGCTCTGGATGCCAAGTCTTGGCTGAGCGTTGCCCAAGGCCCAGCGTTGACCCAGGTCAAGGAAGAGCCTCCCTCTGAGCAAAGCAGCTCCCAGCCTGCCAGCTCTGAGCCCGCCAGCACTGAGCCTGCCATTGAGGCCCCTAAGATGGAAGCAGTCCCCTTGAAAAAGTCATGGTGGACTTCCACAATGTCTTGGAGGTGGGGGGGGTCAACCCCCCGGCGAATTGCCAGGCCATCCAGAGACTCATTGACCGTGGCTACCCTGTCGTCATTTGCAGCTACGCCTTTGCAAAAAGGGAGCGGGAAGTGATGTCCGAACTGGCCGTCTGCCCATGGTTCGGGGCCTTGGAGAGGGCCTTCTGTGTGCGGGCCCGAACAGGGCGGTGGGGCAAAGCTGCCCACGCCGTGCACCACGGCTGCTCCGTCATGATCGATGACGGAGCAGACATCCTGCAGGAAGGAAACTTCATGAACCTGACAGTCCTTCCTGTCACAACGGCCAGGGAGAAGCACCACTGGTGGAGCCGGGGGGGGGGGAGCACCTTCGCCAGCTTGGCTGAGGCAGTGGACCACTTCCTTGTTTTCCCTTGAGAAAGGGACTAGCGTGACCACAGCCTCCAAGCCCCTTGCAAAAGGGGAAAAAAGCAAAGACCAGCCCGCCCGCAAAGTGTGCCATCCACATCCCTTTGCAAAAAGGGATCAGTCTCACCCGCGTGTCAAGCCTCGC